AAAAAAAAAAGCAAGCTCATTTGCAGTTGAAATAGGGCTTGCAAAAAGATTTTCCAAATAACAGGATCTGATGCTCTTCCTGAGTAAGACTTTAACTTCTTCAGGTTTTGTCCCTAAGGAAGTGATTTGTTGCTTTTAGCAAGGTAGTTTGCAGCATTTTGTCTCCTCAAATACACTGCAATAGCTGTACAGTTACTGCATTATTCCACCATGTGGTTTTTTTCTATGTCAAGTTTACACATATATTCTGACTAACTGGTGGACACTTAGGTGTGTCCTTGGTGTGAAATATGTGTATATATTCATGTATATCTTTAATTAAGGTATCAGAAGAAAGGAATTTGTTTACAAACCTCCAAATGCTGATTTGTCAAATTATTTCCTGTCAAAAGCTGTTTACTTTTTCCCACATTAAGCCTAATTCTCTGCTTTTCTGCTGGAGTTTAAGTTTGGTTATCTTTTTCTTCTTCTTACCTAAGTCCATGACACATACCCAATTACAGCAGATTTTTTTCTAGTGTGGTTGCTAAAGTTTGTGAACATGTTTTATCTCCAGTGTTACAATTTTAATTTATTTTTTTTTTAGCTTATATTTATTAAATAAGCTCTGGAAGCAGCAAAAGAAATCCAGTTAGCTGTTAAATTAAGTGAACTGTTGCTCTCAGTAATTTGGTGTTTGCAGTTCATGCAGGATAAGAATAAATTGTGTTGGTCTCCAAATAAAGACTGAAATCCGTGCCGTATGTGGCTTCAGGTTTCCTCTGCTTTCCACCACCCCACCACCCCCTTCCTTCCACATCCTTCAGGGAATGAAAATCCTTGCCACCTTGAAATTATCAAGAACCTCAGAAGTGTCCAAAGGGTAATGAAGAAGCTGGGGTCTTGAGGGGGAGGAGAGAAGGTTGGAAGGACATAATTCAGCCATGATAAATAAATAGGCAAAAAAAACTAGGAGGTGCTGGGCAGCGAGAGTGGAATCCTTGTCTCTTGGGACTGTAGGAAGAGCAGCTGCAAAGATGTGATTTAAGCACAGCTCAAAAAGCATCTTGTATTTGCTTCTAGCCAAAGAGTTGGGGAGGTGGAGGGAGGAGTGGTGGTTGGTGTTTTCTGCATTTGTTACATTACTGCGCCAGGATTACTCTCTCTCATAGATTTAATGGGATCTGTTAAGGACATTGCTATGATAAATGCAATGTTAATTGAAAAGTCTGAGTAGAAAGCAAGGCCAGTTGAAGACTTTTTAAGGATTCACTCTGTTACACTAGCCCTTTCACACATAGGTAGTAATTTTCTTCTCATAAATGTTGTTTCTAACTGATTACAAAGGAGCTTTTTTGATCCGTTGCTTTAATATTACAGTCTCATTTATTCGGACATTATACAACAAATATATTACTTTTCTTTAAGATATTGTTGGTGCAGTTTGTTATCTATTAAAGCAAAGATAGATGTATAGATGTGTGCTAGTGCTACTTTAAATAGTTTTAGCTTTTGGTTTTGTGGGGTTTTTTTGGTTTTGTGGCATTTTTTGTTTAGTTGGTTTTGTGTTTTGGTTTGTTGGTTTTTTGTTTTGGCTTTTTTTGTTTGTTTCATTGGATTGTTTGTTTGTTTTTCCCAGAGGTTGTCTTTATTTCTTCTTCAGATACTATGTCTCCTCTAGTTTTAGGTGCTATGGGGTGAAGGTGGCAGGAGGTCTCAGTAGCTACCTTCTCTCTCTGTACTCATGCTGGTCAGCAGAAGGTCAGGTGTTTTAATACGAAGAAGTTAACAGACCCTAAAGTTACAACTGGTTCACAGTGTGCAGTTGCTTCTTATCACAGAGGGTGATTGCCTTTCCATTCCTTGTTATTACAGACCTAAGGGAAAAAAAACTTCATTCGGCATGTTTTGTCTGCTTGTTGTTTTGGAGGTAGGAAAAAAAAGAGAGAAAAAAATCACAATCTCCTGTGGAAATGCTGTAGAGACTGTAAGGGCTACATCACACTGACAATTCTATTTATATATTTCAGATGTTTTGTGTGATTTAAAAAAAAAACAACCACCTAGTTTCTGACATTAAAAATGTTTCTTTCAAGCCTAATAAACTGGTTTGGGTTTTTTAAGTTTAAATCTCTGATTATTTTGAGAATTCTGAAAGGTCTAAGTAGAGGGGGTTTTGTGAGTTAGAAAATCCAATGACAAAAAATCAAATATAAGTGAAATATGAGTTGAAATAAGATTCTGTTGCAGGATTTATTTTCTCAAGGACTATGAGAGAAGAAGTTCTGAAATTAGTTTCTAACCTGCCTGAAAATGCCTGGATTGGTATTTCTGAATGTGTTTTGTGTGTTTGCTTTAATGACAATAATGACTTTTTTCTGTATGCTCCCTACAGGAAACAGTCCTCAAGATAGCCCTAGGAATTTCTCTCCCAGTGCCTCAGCCCACTTTTCTTTTGCACGAAGGTAAGAAGTGTTTGTAGAACACAGCATGCATTTTGTGTAGAGGAATTATTGTTGGACCCAGATACTAAAAGATGATTGCAAATACCTCTGTCAAGCCTGTCACAAAGAGTGACAGGTGTTATCTCACTTAACTCAGCTCTACTAACCCTCAGCTGCAATGAAGCTGAACTGGATGATTGATGCAATACAGTCATACCCTTTTGAACTTAAAAATGTTTTTAGATTGTTTTGGATCCAATTCTCATTCATTGAGGTAAGGGGAAATTTTAAGCAACTTCTAGGGTGTTTTTTTTAACAAAAGAGGTGCATTCCTTATAAGAGCACTATCGTAAAGGTCCTGACTGCAGCAGCAATGTCACCATACCTTTAACACCTGACTTTGACCTGTTTCATTGTCTATACTGAGACACAACAGCTCTGTCACAGAAGTGTTGTGAGGATTAGTTAATGATAGTAGAATTTTTGAAGATCTAAAGTAAATTTGAAGTGATTTGTGAAGTAACTTATTGTTAAATGAGCTGTAACCAAAGTTGATAGCATGTCATGGGAGACTTCCTGTTCATGCTAGTGTAGTTTCCTATCACTTAACACCTTGTCATGCTGCCTCAAATATGTTCATTAACTCTAAGCTTGATAATTTATGTGTTGACCCAAGAGTATGTACACAAAGAATGAAAAGTGGAGTGATGTGACATGGCACTCTTTGTCATTAAGTAGTAGTGCTAGGCATGTAAATGTTGCATTTGTAGTGAGACAGCATTTGGTAATTTAGTTCTACTTCCCTTATTTTGGGAGTTAAAGTGGCATACAAAAGCTCTCAAAAGTAAGTGCAAGGAAACATTTGAACTTGTTAAAACCTGCAAAGAGTAGAAAACCTTACTTGTGTATTCCTATTACCTGAATGTAATTCTTCTGTAACAGTAGATCTTGTCAGTGTAACAGCATATGATGTCAGTTTTTTAATCAACACCTTAAGTAAGTTGAGTATTCATTTGAATCTTCTTCCCCTTGATAGTATCTTTAAAAAAGAGGAAAGCTACCTCTTCATAGATTACATTTGCTTGTGAGCGTATTTTCTGAAAGACTCATTAAATCCAGAAATAGCTTATAATGAAAAAAGCAGATGTGAAAGATCAATCATTACTTAGCAATACAGTGGACAGGAAGTCATTTTCCTTTCCCACCCATAATCCATAAAGTTGAAATCATGTATTTGCAAACGTTAAAATTTAGGAGGAAAAAATTAATTTGTTTACCAGTGTTTAATTTATATTTTGACCATTTTTAGAGCCCTGTAGTGATACTAATTTAAAACTGTAAAGTTCTAAATGCTAACACAGAAAGTTCTGTGATTTCAAAATATTTAACCACTTCAGCGGAATTCAAGAAACTTCTTCACCTCAGTTTTCTATGGAAACTGGTCTTGTTATAGATGATGGTGACAATGCTTGATGATGCTTAAGTTTAAAACAGCATTAATGTAAAATTTGGTATATATGTTGTGTTTGTCTTCATATAACTTGTGACAGGATGCATTTTGTTAGTGAAACAACCTGTGATTAATGAGAGTGGTTCTTGGACACCTTTTCTGTTATGTTTTGTAAATTTAATGACAGTACAAAGGAAGGGAAGGAAGTGTGTGTGTGTGTGTATGTGTGTGTGTGATAGAGCAGGCTGAAGGAGCAGAAGTGAGCCAGTATAGTTGTATGGATATTCCTTTTCCATCCACTCACTCCCAGTCTGTGGAAATACCAAAACCTGGGGAAACGTGAGGAAGAGAGTGAATGGCAAGGGAAATGGCTTGGAAGCCTCCTGTGGGAAAGGAGGGCTTCCTAGCATAGCCATTTCTCATCAAGCTGCTGGCCATATCATGCAGCAAGAACTACAGCAAGAGGGTGACCCTCTGCCATGCTGCCAGACAGTGTACTGTGCTGGAGGCAGCCCCTCAGCAATGAGCAGAAGCATTACCTTCTCCTGCCCACATGTGGTGCAGTGATCAGCATCCAGGGACAACCTATGCTGGTCACCGGTAGCCACCATTTAGGCCTCTTCTGCTGGTACATGCAAGGCCAGTATATATAAATTCATGGGTAGGTGACAGATTCTGTTTTCCAGAGCTACTGGAAAAAGTTGGTAGGATGGCACTGTACAGAAGAGACAGGCAGCATAGGAGATACCAGGGGAAAATGCTATAGGGGCTTGATGCCTTTTTATCCCTTTTCCCCTAATGGGCGCCTCCTATTCTCCTAACTCTGCTTCCCAGAGAACTTGTGTGCCCCCTGTCCCCACTGTTGATGGCCCATCTGTGCAAGAATTGCTGTGTGATGCCAGAACCCTGTTCAGTATGAGTTACTCAGTAAGGAAGTACTTTTTCTTACAGCTGCAGTATACATGGGTTTCATACATGTTTAAATACCTTAGAAGTTCTTGTTCCTTCAACTGTGAACATATTTAGCTTCTGCAGCTGAGCCAAAATGAAGACTCCTTTTGGAATTCTCATTAATCTGGAGGCAGCTAATGCATACATGAGGGAAGGAGAGAAGGGAGGAGAATTAATGAATTAAAAGCAAAGCTTTGAGAAGGAGGAAGTTTTTTCCAGAGTTCAGTCTTTGGTACAGTCAGCAATCCCTCTAGGACATATTCTCTTTACATTTTAGTAGTAACTATGTACTGCATTTCCTTTTCTCATGCTGCATATATTCAAAGTCCCAGAGACATGGGTTTTAGCTTGTGCATGGTAGTTGGAAGCAGGAAATAAGACATCAGAATGGAGAAGAGCAGGGTAATTTTTTTGTTCATTTGTTTTTTGTTGTTCAGACAGTTAACTGGAAGGTTAGGGAAGCTGCGTTGAGATATAAGGCTCCTGATCTGGCATAACTTCACCTTTGTGGAATTAACTTTGTGTAAATCAGACTTGACTGATAATCTTTGTCCTGGCTTTCAATTCTACTTTCACCTTTCCCCCATTATTATATTGTTTCTTAATAAAAATATGTCCTGTATTGTTATTTATTTATGTATTACTTTGCTTTTTTTTTAAATATATTTGATACTATTATACTCCAGTCATGGGCACCGAAATGACAGGTAAATGTTACCTTCTTAAAAATCCAAACATCACCCCTGTAGTTTTTTTGGTTTGGCACTTTGAATGTTCAGTGTTCATCCTATGTGTGTGTAGCTCACCTCAAGTAGAGAAGAATAGAAAATGGTTTTGCTTATGTTTTGTTTGTTTGCTTTTATTCTGAATGAGCATGTTTTTTTGCTGTAAAATTGTTTTTTCTGGTTTACATGGCTAACGTTTAACAAATTTGATTTTACATAATTATTCTTTGCTGTTATTTGACATTAGCCTGGTAATTTGCTGGTGACTTGTACTGATGTCACTTAAAGTGCTGCTCTTTTTATTTCAAGCGGACTGTGGTGGTTATTCTGTATTTCAGAGTATTGTGGCTTTTATCCACAAGTTTTTAATTTGCTTCTCATTATTTTTTAATTGATAGACCTGAGAATTGTGTAGACTCTTATAGTCCATTTCTATGTGTATTAGTGAAACACCAGTTCTGTGAAGCTGTTAATTCACTCCTGGTTGTTTCATCTCACAGGTTTTTAACTAGAAAAACTACTAAAAAAATGCTGTAAGCCTAAGTCATCCTTGCTGAATTTTTGTTTATTGTGGTCCCTCGTGAAAGTTTACTCTTTATTAAAAACCCTGATTGTATCATGCTTTTGGAATGCAGTTTTACACAGTAATACCTCCACAGCTATTTCTGTACTAGGATATCACAGTGTTCATTTGACTAACCTCTGTTTCTCAACAGGACTGATGGCCGACGCTGGTCTTTGGCTTCTCTCCCTTCTTCTGGCTATGGTACAAATACACCCAGCTCAACTGTTTCTGTAAGTATGCAAGTGGCTATGTTGATAGATTTCTGTTACAGGCCATATCTTCTGAAATGTAGCTTTCTTTTCTCAGGAGAAGGCAATGTTCGTTTTGTTACCGCTGACAGACTTTGAATATGGGATGTGAATATGGGAAGCTTTACTTCACTGAAATAGAAGAAAATTTTAGACAGTGTGTGCATTGCTCAGAGATACTTTCTGGTAGTGATTAGTGTTTAACTCTCCTCTTTTGATCTGTGGGGCAGTAGAGGGGGAGACATACTGCCTTATTTTAACCATATGGTAGTTAGGTGTCAAGTCTCAAGTGAGGCTGCCTTGATAACAAAAAAGAGAAGCTGCTCTGGCATGATTTGTCCATCCTAGGCTGCTATTTAAGATGGGCTGAATCACACATTTTCCTGTCTCTTTTCTTTGGCAATAGTGAGATGTTAGTGCATGATGATAGGTTAGATATTAGCATTTTAGATAGCTATAATTAGAGGAATCCATACATAAGGATGTATGGATTATGTATCCAGAAGGATACATAATAGGATAAATACATCTACTTATTTTTTACCCGTTAGAGCAATCCTTTTGATGTGATCTTGTATCAGCCCCCTGCTTCCATGCGTGCAGCATCTGACTTGTGACATGCACCGTGGCAGTGCATGAGATCCTGCTTCAATACTTAGGAGCTAGGCAATGGAAGAAGTGTGAGTCTGTACTTTTGCATGTCTTGCACACTCTGTATTGGCCAGGAAGTACTGGGTTGTTACAGCCCAGAATTCAGCTATCCTTAAGTCTTACCTGACAGACTGAGGAGATAGAACTGTGGAGGAAGCCTGCTTTGGAAACAGCAAATAATTAGCATTTTGACAGTTACATCTTCTGCAGTAAAGGGTCTGGTCCTTGTAGATGCAATTATAACTCTTCAAATGTTGTTGTGTATCTTTCACATTGTTTTTTGCCATTAGGGTTGTATCATTAACAGAATTACTATTTTATGCATGGTATGTAGTACTGGAACCTGATACCTGGTTTTAAAAATAATGTTTCTTTTTGCAACTTAGGCAAGCTTTCTTTTTCTCTGGGTTTGATCTGTTCCTCTTGTGAAGTAGTTGAATTCCACACTCTGTACTCTGATGCAACCTATGCTATGATCATCTCTTACTTTGTGCCCACAAAGGCATGTGGAAAGTCAAGTCAGTTCTTCCTAACTTTAAATCAGGTTAAGGGATTTCATGTATCCTAAGAACTTTTCCTCAGTAGCACTCATTTTTTTACCTCTGCTTTCCTTCCTACGTAGATCTTACTTTTCCCAAGTAAATTGCTTGGTATCACATTAATTCCCTAACCACTTCCGGTAGTGCATGTTTGTACACCTCTTGTTGGAACTAGGTCAAATACACTGTGGTCTTCACTTAAAATATATTGACATAAACGAGTTTATGTCAGATAATAAGTAATTGCAATAGCAACTTCATTATTGTTATAAAAAAACAAGCTTGTGTTAGAAAGGAAATAAAAAGCTGTGTCAGAAAGTATCAAAACACAGTTCTGATTTTTAGTCCATACTCATGCTCTTTTTTACATACTGAATTTTAAAATAGTAATTCTAGTTAATATACCTTTCCCACTTAAATTTACTAATTGCTATATGCATACTGGAATGTGGAGCAGTTTTACAGTATTTTTGCATTTCTTAGGAAAAAACACAGTCATTTACAGAGTTAGGTATCTTAAGTTCCGTAATAGACTGTTGTTGAGATATTTCCTGACTAGGCAACATCTTAAAAATATTAGTGTAGATGTCTTCCTTATAGCATTGAACAAACAGTTTCAGACTTATGGAAAGCAACCTGTTTTTCTAAGAAGTAATTTGAATTTTGTTGAGGAAACCAGCAGTGGAGAATTTATAAATACATTTCTTATGGTTAGGCTTGTTTGGTTTTTTAATAATAATTATGATTATGAGCCCTGCAAAAACACTGGGATAACCTCTAAATTTTAAATCTAGCCACTATTTCTTCTTTTGCTTCTTAGTAGAAATGCTTTTCACTTAGGTTTGTTTTTTTTTCTTACCTGCTGGATGATAAATGTAGATCAGAAAACGAGAATTAGAAGTGATACCACCAAATTGCTTTTTCAGAATCTGAAACAGCTAGCACTCTACAACCTCCTCTCCACATTCTCACAAATTCTTGGAGGCAATCAGAGACAACCTAATACACAATGGGCTAAGTCTACATAAAGAGCCCTCCCTTTTCAGTGATGGATGAGTAAGTTTCACATTAATCCAGGGATACAGCAACTGAAGACCAGATCAGTTTTTACACCTCACAATAGAGCACAGCTTTGATATTTGCAAGGAATTGAAACTCAAAGCAGGCGAAGGGTCTGTTGTAATCATCATTATGCTCAGTTGAGTTAATTCACCATTTCTTAGCCTTTTTTTTCATTTTTTCCTATTGGAAGTGAAGAGTTTGATGGAATTACCAATGTCATAAAAGCTCATGGGTTTAGAAGTAGTGCAAATAGTACATATAACAGTACTCACAATAAAGTTAAAATTAAATTAAAATATCTCCTGCTAACATTATTCAATTGAAAAGAAACTCTTGGTGTCTTGTATTCTAGCAAAGTTGGATCAGATCTTGCCAGTTATGAGATGATTTGTGTCTTCTAGAAGAGCAAGTGTATAAAAATTGAGAGAATACTCAGTTGCATATTTTTGCCAGTAGATTGTATTCTTGGAAGATTATTTGAATGGGGAAATGGGGTAAGAGTATGAGGAAAGTGACTTCGGGGTTACACTAGCTGCAAATTTGTCTCCTTGCTGGAAGAACAAGTTTGTGTTGCCATGATGCACTGTGGTTATGTGTATTAATAATGTTAAATGTTAGGTAATTTTTGGAGTAACTATTCTAGAATGCCAGGAGAGCTAATATTTTTTAAATGTTTTACTATGAGAACTTGGATTTGTACAGAGATCAGAATTCAGACCGCCATTCAAATGCACTATGTGCCGTCTGTTGGTTCTGATACAAATGAGAGTTTTTAGCAGAACAAAGATTCTCACCTTAATCCTATTGGATCTAGACTCTGTGACACTTTATATGAGAAAGTGTGACATAGGTTATTGTCCTCTTGATCGTTCCAGAATCTCCTGAAGCGAAAGAGGTGGAGATTGATTTTACAGAAATAGTCATCTGTGACAGGCAGTACTGGGACATTTCCCTGTGCTTGAGTATCTTTTATCTTACGGAGCATGGCTGTAGGACATATGCCATGAGGTTAACTGCAACTAGCTGCCATAGTGTGACATTAGAAGGAACCTATCAGCTGTGTAATGAATTATGCATGGTAATGCGCTGAGGTTGAATTTCGTAAATTAGTTACTGTGACTAGACAAGTTATAACCTATCATGAGAGATGTGGTAAAATCTTGGTGTGCATACTTCTTAGCCTGCAGCAAAGCCAGGTAAAGCAGATATGATGCAGTCTTCCCACACAGAGTGGTCCTGCACAAGTTAACCTTTCCCAGCAGTGGCTTTTCTGTTCCTTTTTTCTTTTTTTGCTTTTAGGAGATGACTTTGTGAGGTGTAGTGGGATTAGTAATCTTTTATTGAGTTCCTAGAAATTAGGATATTTTCAGTCTTTGCCACACAAATTGCTGGGAAATGAGTAAGATTGTCTTATTTCCTGGGCCTGCTAGCCTGGTTATTACCTTCTGACCTTTGCAATGTTGGGCAGTGTTCGTTCAGTGCAAAAGTGTATTGATTTCCCTCACTTGGGATAGTGTAGCAAAGAAGCCCTTACTGTGTTGGCCTACAATAAGAGACTAGCTGCACAGGGGCCTTGGCATCCTACATGGGAAGACAGATGAGAAAAATAATGTGCACAAGAAGAATGACACGTGGAATAAGCTAATATTGAAAAAGCCAACTGGAGACTGAAGAGCTCCAGGAAGAGGTACAAATTTTGCTACTTCTTCCCCTCCACAGGTACAAAGGGAATGTCTGTGTGGTACCAAGCAGCTTTATGCAGTCATACAAGGATATTTGTGAATGTATCAGGGAAACTACTTTTGGTACCAAAAACAGTAGAGTATTTCTCTGTCTTCAGTTGTCAGGCTGGTTGTAATGCACTGATCTGTGTGCATGTTATTTACAAGGATATCAAATCCCAGGCTTAGAGAAGTATTTTCAAATTTCTACCTCCAAACATTTAGTATGGCTCTGATAACTAGTCATGCTCTATAAGACAATAAAATATGATAGTATGATCACTCCACTGCTTTATGTAGTGCTGCTTTATACATGACATTTTGCAGGCTACTTATTGTGTTAGCAGTTCCAATTTGACACCTGTCTATATCTTCCAATTTTATTCTAGGTAGATGGTTTCAATAATCCCTTTCGCATTTGTCAGCTGTAGAACCTACCTTAATAAGATGTATTAAATGTATTAGATCTTTCACTTAATTTTGAATGTACAGGTTTTTATAAAAAGAACATATATACATTTTTTCACCAAGAATTTAGACTGTTTTTTAAAGCCTCAATAATGTCTTGAATATGGGTAACGGAAGTACCTTCATTGTGTAGATTTAAATCTGTATTTTGGCAGTAAGTTGTACTGTACGGTTACCATACTTACACTGCCCTACTAAATTTTCAGCAGACCCCATTTTAGCTACTCTTACCTACTGGTGTGTGTGTTACTAACATTAGATGTCATCTTTGCCTTAGAGGAAATTTTAAGTTTTCAAATGCAATGGCTCTTTCTTCCATGCCTGAAGTAGGTTATTTATACTTATTCTATATACAGCTTGTTAAATTGAGATGATAATTATTTGTTTTATTCTTCAAACTGGTCGTCAGAAGTGGGAAATGATAAGTAATTTTAAAATTAAATAGCTTGCTTTGTGAGTACTGAATATGGTCTTGAAAATGTTTTTTTCAGTCTGATAGAATCTTGTGTTCTCTTCTGCTCTTGTAGTCCTCCTGCTCATCCCAAGAGAAGCTACACCAGTTACCATACCAACCGACACCTGACGAACTACATTTTTTGTCTAAACATTTCTGTGCCACAGAGAGCATTGCCAGTGATAGCAGATGTAGGACAACAGCAATGCGCCCTCGGTCCCGAAGTCTCAGGTGAGTTTGTCTATCTGGAAGTAGGGGTCCGATCTAAATCCACATATTCTGGGGAATCATGGGTTTGTACATTAGTGACATTCACTGCTTTTGAAATTTTGAAGTATAATACAAGAAGCATGCATCTGAAACTGAGTTACGAGTACTTCAAAAAAAAATTTTTATTCTTGTTTTGATCATGGCTTACTTTAGTGGTTAACACTGTAAGTTTATACTTATGGCAAGTAGCCCGTGTGAATTGCCTTGATGAGCTAATCATTACTGATCTAAGTGTAGCATTGGTTCTCTTCTAGAGTTCAGACTGGTCACAGGAAAAAGTCTTCACTTGCAAAACTAAATCAAAATGTATTAACCTAGGACTACCTAGAAGGAAATGTGATAAAGAGCAAATGGGTGGGTGGGTATGCACTCATTTGTTGTCTTCAACCAAGATGAACTTCAGTTTCATGTTTCCTAGAGGCTAGGCCTCTGCATTTCATTTATGGTGGCCATTTGGAAAACACAGATTAATTTTATGGTAAAGTTTTCAAGAACTAGAAGGAACAGAAGGGAAATACTGTATTGCTAATTGTCATATTGATATGATAGTAAAAAGCAGTTTTGTAGGCCATGGGTACCTTTTATGGATTGTTTTTCTGCAAACTTTATGCTTTCCTTACAGGCACAGTGCCCCAACATTGATGCAATTTGTACATATCTGCAGCATTATTTGTTAGAAAGTCGTTGCCTTTATCTGCTGGTCAGATTGAAACTATTGTTTAAAAAATTAAATTTTCTTCTCAGAAAAAGGTGATTTTCACATGTGTTGCAAAACTGCCTGTATCCTGCAGTGTAGTTACAAAAATAAGAAAGTAACATAGTTATCAGTTAGAAATAAAGCACGTGAAATAATCTTTAGGGCCTGGTCAGAAATAGCAGAAAGGAACCAAGTATGCTAGTTGGTTGGTGGATGTACCAAGAATGTACCTTGGTTGGATGTACTTCTCCAGTGAAGCCTTTTTTTGTTGCAAATAAACTGTATAAAAATATAAGCAGTAATTGTAGTTCATGCTATGACAGATTTAAAGGCATGATTTGTTTTATTTGCAGCCCTGGACGTTCTCCTTCATGCTGTGACAATGAAATAATTATGATGAACCATGTCTACAAAGAAAGATTCCCAAAGGTAATGAATTATATTTAAGGTATCCAGTATCTAAACTGATAGGCTACATAGGTTATAAGTAAATAGTGTTTTTGTTATGGGAGCTAATGATCCAATCCTGCAATGGCTTTCATAAAGCAACATCAAGCTCTTATTACAAAGATAAAATCACAATAAGGAAAATCCCTGCTGAGAACTGGACATTCATGTGACAAAGCTGCTGAACTGGTTTTTAAATGAATCATGCTGGTAATATATTTTACTGATTGGAAATAGGCAGTACATTTGATTTCAATAGGTGGTGTGTATTTGGAACAAATATACACTGAATGAGTAAACAAAAAATAGTTTCTATGGCTAAGTTTTGTGCAGTATCTGCTGATATACCTGCACATTCCTTCCTTTAGTGGCATTTATTCCTTTTCCCAAACACTCATTATATACTTATTTTGAATGTGAAGATCAGTACACAGTTATGGGGCTTTGACTGTGATATGCCACATGAGAACACGTGTCTGTCATGTTTGGCGGTCTGAGACTCAAGTGAGTTCCTAGGTACAATTGTGTTGCTTGGGCCACTGTGCCTGGTTGCTCCTAGGATTTTTATGACCCTTGGAAAACAGAATTAGGTAAAGCTGATACCGCTTCAAGAAGTGCTTAAAAGGAAATTTCTTTATGGAAATATGAAAAGGAATTTGTCAGGATTTGCAGATCGATTGAACAGCAACATGAAGTGTGGAACAACCTCATTTCAGTGTTTTAGATATGAACTAACAGGTGTGGGTTTATTCTTTAATACTCATTGAATTGTAATAAGTTTTTCCTAGTTTTTTGAGAACTAGACAGTTTTTTTTTCTGTAAAACAGACACATCTAGCGATCTGCAGATTTATCTGTGAGGACCTGTGAGCCTGTGGTGCTTTTAGTCATTGTTCATTCTAACTCTGCCAAGTGAAATATTTTCATGGTGTAACCTGTGTGAAAGGAGGAAGGGTGTTCTGGTCTGTAGTATTTGTCATTTTAGCAGAAAAAAGTAGACACGAGTTCTCTTTTTTCTTTAGTATTTTGGCCTGGACTTAAATTTTTAGGGTTACGAGTGTTGCTTTAGTTCTGTTTAGTGATCATCACAAGATTAGTGTACAGTTAATCAACAGTGGCAGGCAAAAGGGAGGATCTGAATAGTGGAACAGTAAAGGTGTTGCTTTTTTGTACTGATAATGTGGGGAAATGTCATGTCCATTTGCCTTTCTGTTCGATTGTAGTTTTGCTTCAATCTTTTCATGCATTCCAGGAGGGTAACTTCTTAGGCAGTACAGAAATGTCACAAAATCAGATATAAGCTTTAAGGCAGTTAGTTAGCTGATTAAATGTGTTGTTAATTAGCTGATTTAATGTATTGTGTATCTGTCTGTCTGTAGGCCACAGCTCAGATGGAAGAGAGGCTTCAGGAAATTATAACAAATCATTCTCCGGAGAATGTCCTTCCCCTGGCAGATGGAGTGCTCAGTTTTACCCACCATCAGATCACAGAACTTGCTCGAGATTGTTTGGATAAATCCCACCAGGGCCTCATCACGTCACGATACTTCCTTGAATTACAGCAGAAACTAGACAAGTTGCTACAGGAGGTATGAGCCATGAGACTACTTCTATGTTTGCTTGAAAAAAAAATTTAATCTATTTACCTAACAATTGTCCTGAAATAGTCATGACTGTTCACTCAAATAATTGTCAAAGTGCTATTCAGAGCAATTTTATTTTACATAATGACCTCTACAAAGGCTATAAAGCATCCTAGTTTACTAGATGGGTAATAAAGATTTCAGAAACAACAGCATTTTGTTACGTGGCACAAGTTATAAATTGCTTAAAGAAGTGTGTGCATAAGCCTAAATGAGGAGGGAGGATATTCCATTTGCTGTGGATAAATGAGGAGACACACTACACTTTCCACTTTATCAACCCTACTAATTGCTTGTTCTGTTGAGAACACAGGCAGCCACCCTTAGCTACAGGTTATATAATTATTTAAATATTTATAATATTGCTTCCCTATTTGAACTGTTTGTTAACAGAAATAATGTAATTTCTAAAAGTGTTGAAACTTCCATACAATAATCAGCTAAATTAATTAAGGAGAACTTGGAACTTGACAAAATAAATGCACTATGCAAAACCTAGACATCAAGTGATTTGTTTCTAGATCACTGAAACTGTATTTTTATAAACAAACAAAAAAAAACCATGTAGAGTTTGCTTAATAGTCAAAAGGAAGTTAGAACTAGTGACCTTGTTATGAAATATTCAGATTTTTAGCATGCCGAAGTACAGGCAAATTTGGCAAGTTGGCTGGAGGTATCTAACTATGAATTGAATTAATCCTAGTGATAATGTCAAATTACAAGGAAAAAAATCTAAGCTAAGATTCACTGAATCACTGTTAACAACATATGCCTTAAAATGGCTCCACAGTAAGTAGAGTTCAGAGTACATCTTCGCTCATTCACTTAAACACCCTACTAAAAAAAAACACCCAGGCAACATACTGTCCAATCTGCATATAAAGCAATGCATTACTAAAAAACACGGACATACAAATTTTGTCATGTTCTGTGATGCTAGTTCTTTATTATGTAAACATTTCATATTTTGAAAAAGTCATAATACCTAAAAATATTCAGACTGAACTTTTGAGTCAACTGCATAGTACCTGTTAATAGCATAATATGACAGTAAGAAAACTTTATCTTTGTACAACTCAATTATGGACATTTGTTTGTGCTCTGGATTCATGTGATTCATTTGTTGTCAGTTCCCAGCTGTGATGTTCAGTAGGAAGCTGCATTTCCTACTGCTATTTAGCATGTTGCAATTAGTTGGTACAGCCAGGGCAAGACTCTTCTTGAAGTTGGAGCAGCTTGGTTCAGCAAAGATTTTTATAATTCTGAGGTCAAGTTTAAGTGGACCTGAGTGCTTTCCTCTATCCATTTTGTGTCCAAAAGAGTTTTCTTTGGACTTGATTGCATGCAGAACAAAAATGCTTCTGTCCAGTTAAGGTTCTTCCAAAACCTACTGCAGAATGCTAGATGGTATCTGCACCTTTTTATTCTTCCTTCCTTAAACTCCACAAAATAATTCTCAAATATTTGTTTTTTAAAATTGTAGTCATATCAAAAACACTTAATTTCATATTTTCATCATTTTTTGCTTAAAAAAATACAATATGCGTGTTATATGACAAATACTTCATTTGCCTATATTAGTAATTTTAAAAAATGTTAGTGTCTTAATTCTCTCTGTGATTTTAAGTAAGTAAGAGATGATGAAAAGAGTAATTCTACAATTGCTTTGATACTTCAGTGAAGGGCTATTAGTATATTTTACTCAGAAGGAGTGTGATACGGTTTATTTGTATTCATTAGCATCCTTAAATGGTACAATTTGTTCTTTAGAGGGCAACACTTGAAATAAATTTTAAATGCCTTTCAGACCACTATGAAAATGTTACCAGACCTTTCTAGAAGAATTTTTTCTGTATGTATTCTTTTACATATATGCATACATTTTCCCTCTTTCGTTACAATTGTTGTAAAAGTAAATTTTTCATTCCTTTCTGCATATACCTTTATATGGTGCGTCTCTGCAAGTATATTTTATATATATATGTGGATGTGTGTTGTCATTTTAGTATGACACGTAACCATAGGAAATTAGGATCAAATTGTCATGGATGTTGCTTATGTTTCTTAATACTACTTGGCTCAGTTTTCATTTAGTCCTAAAATCATTAACAAATGGAGACACAACCGTCCATGCAGAGAGATGTATGTTGTATTGAAATGTAGTTCCTTCTGTAAAACTGATGTAATAATATGTGTAAGTTAGAAAAAAAGAAGTGGGCATTCTGTCCCTTGTAGGCACTTTTTTTGTTACAGTCTTAGAATTGTACAAATGGGATTACTTCAATTGGAAATGACAGTATTGCTCAAATCCTTGTTATCTGTGCCAGCATTTTGAAATCGACGTTCCCTTTACCTCAAGCACGTGCTTCAAACCCTCAAAGGTGTCCCAAATACTGTGTATAATTTGCTGAGTCAAGCATTGAATACAGTTTTTTTTTGGTTAATATTACTTTACTTTTATTTTTTAGGCTCAAGAGCGATCAGAGAGTAGAGAAATGGCATTTATTAAGCAATTTGTCCGAAAAATCCTGATAGTTATTGCTCGTCCTGCTCGCTTACTTGAATGCCTGGTAAGGCTGTGCTTACTATAAGTAGTTTTTTCACTTGTTAATATACAAAGGTTTCTCACTTAGTATTCATTGCACATTACAATAATTTTTTGAAACATGTCGAAACAATAGGATAGGACTTTGTTATTGGTGGGAACCTTTCTGCTTTTATTTAGAAAACATGGGACTGGCAGGGACCTCCTGTGGTTGTGTTTAGTTCCCTGCTATTGCAAATACTAAGTTATAGAATCTCTTTCATCAACTGAGGAATGTCCAGTCTGAAACCTGTTGGTTTTCTGTTGTTGTGTTAGACTTTGCTATTCCTTAGGAAGACTCTCCTAGAATCTGAATTGATTGGCTTTTTTCCCATTGTTACTGTTCATCATCTTCTTACAAGTTGCATGATTTTGTCTCACTCAACAGCTGCCAGAGCTGTAAGCAGGTTGCAGGCAGCTCTGCAGTACCTGATCTGGGGGAACAGCAGCAGAGGCATTAGGGTATCTGGATATGCGAGTAGTGAGACTGACATTTGGAATCAGAAGGAGCAGAAGAGTTAACTTACTTATGCATGAGTATAGCACTGATGTTGCCAGACTGGGCTAGCTTGTGCAAGGCTCCGTGGGTGTCTTTCTGCTTTGCCTGCCCATGCTGTGGGAGCTTGGATGGCTCAGGTGCAGGAAGTCACACACAGAGTCTACGCACAGAGCCAATGTGCTTCACTTGTTTGGTGGAACTAATAAACCCTCACAGAACACAGTGTACTTGGGAGGACAGTGTAGACACCTAGATACCATGTAAGTGCCAGTCTGAGTCCAACAGGCCTGGTAGGCAGCCCAGGCTGACATCATTGAGCCACTCTGCTTGCCAATACTAGGATCACAGTGTTGATGCTCCATGCAGCTGTTTGAGACTGACAAGACTTATGTGGGAGCCACTAACCTGCTGCTAGACTCAAGTTATGCCTAAAAGTGTCGTAACTGCATTTGCCTGGCACTGAATCTGAAGTAGTAAGTCTTTCCAACCTGATTTTGGTTCTGTGCTGTGTCTCTTCATCTGTGGCACAGTTGAACTACAACCTGGCTCGTTCAGCCACAGGCGTTTTGAGAGCTGTCTCTTTTTTGTTTCAAAAACACCATGTCTCGGTGTTTCCAGTTGCAGTTTGTTCATGAATTGCAGTTCAGAAGGAATCTAAAAATATGTGCTCTGAATCAGCATGAAAGAGGTGTTTAAAAAACAAAAAAAAGGCAGGCTTTAGAGGAGGGAATGCCTTAGCATGTCCTGACTCCGCCACTGAATCCAAACTTGCATTACTTTGCCCTGAAATCTGAAATACTCATTCCATATCTAGTGTGATTCCCTACTCTGGTCTGAGGCTTCATGCAATCTTTTTTCATCTCTTCACCCTGTTTGTCATGCAGTGTCTTGTCTTGTATTGCTTCTGATCTGTGTCCTTCTCTGTCATCAAACATCTAAAAATACCCTTAAATGCATCCTGTGGGTTGACAGACTGAGGCTTCTTTACGATGATTTGTCCTTCTCTCTTCCATGCTTGCTGACTGTCTCCCACCCAGCCCTACTCCCAGCATCACAACCGTCTTCTAGCTTTTTAATTCAGGTTCTCTCCTGGTGATCTGTTTGCCTGTTAATATTTACTAAATGCTGATTTTTCTAGCTATATAGTGAAAATCTCCACTTAATTCCCAGTTTCTACCCTGGGATCTTATCCTAGACTACTTGCTGTGCCTTACCACGCTTTAAGCAGAGCTGCTATGCATCCTGTATGACTCCTTTTGCTGGGCCTTCTAGTGAGAGTGGAAGGACTATTTCAAGGCCAGGAGATGAGATCTTTTGATGTAAGGTGGAACATGACAACTCTGCAGTTTCTGCAGAGGAAGGTATCTTGAACAAATTTAGGCATACTTTCACAAAACAACATGTTTCATGCAAGAGGTGTTAAGCCTACTCCATAGAATCACTGGAATCGTTTAATCTTACAGAACAATGTTGTTTGAGAATGTCCCTCTGGCAAATTTTTGAATAATATTGGCTGATATTTTACAGTGTCTGTCTGAAATAGATACTACATACAGAAGTCTTTAGACTCTATAGCTAAGTTCATAGCATTGTAGGAAATAAATCAAGCACTTTTTTCACAAGACATTTCAGATACCATGCAGTAGTGCTGTTCATTTTCTGATGGTGATCTTGGCCCGTGTTCCTTTATTTATTCACTTGATAATAGTATGAATAAAGCTTCTGCAGTTTCTTATATGCCAAGAGCTACTGCCAAATATTGACATTTTTCTCCATTTTTACATGGAAAATGAAACAGAGTTGCAAGTAAAGATCAGAAAATAAATTTGCTTCTGATTATTTGCACATGTTTATGTATATGTCCATGCATGTGTGTGTATATTTAAATATAGGTATTTTTATATATACGCACACATTGCTTTGATAAAAGTATCTCTTTTGAAATTACTTTGACGTACTAGCTAGTGGAGGAGAAGCTGTATGTGTTCCACTGCAACAGGTGGGGTATTTTCGTAATGAAGGTAGGTAGGAAGTCTTGTCATACACCATCATGTTGTTGTGTTCTTCGGTGCCAAGAAGTAACGAGAGACAGCCTAGGACAGCATGTCAGATGAGAAGAAGGCTAAAACAGCATATAGTGCTTAGTTACTCTATTTAGTTTTCAGGAAGTTTAGCAGCATCCTGAGACTTAAAGCTAAACACGAGGATTTAAGCAGTTCAGGTAAATCTTTGGAGTTGGCTGGAGATTATGAAAATTGTTTCATGAGAAGTGAACTAAGGTTGTTGCCACAAGACTGAAAATTCCGAGGACATTTCGTTTCAGACACACTGCAGCTCCTCCTAGCCACAACAGTTCAGATGTTTCCAAAATGAAACATGATGCCTAATTTCTCAAGCTATCTTCCAGTTTGGCACATTGACTTCCTAAGTCCTGGGTAGCCTAAGGAGCTAGGACATGAACCTTGTGACACAGAAGGCAGACTAAAGCCCCAAGGGAAACAACCATCAGGGAAGCTAAATAGCTTATTAATTTGATTGGCTTCCACAGGTGTTTTTAACAGAACTGACTTGAGGCAGCAAAGTCTGTTTTGTTATGTCAGTGTTTCATGACTGACTGGCTCTCACTTGGTTAAGCATTGCACATGTTATGATCGGTGGTTAGCATGAACATCTTGAGGAATCTAATGGCTGTTTGAGAGATGTTTTGGTATGAATCCATACTGGCAGATTAAAAAAAGGGTTTTTTAAAAAATAAAAGAAAGAAAGATAAAGACTTATAAAAACCCAATACATTAAAACAACTAAACATTTTAATAAACTTTCCTTTCAGTGTTTCCTTTTCATGTTCCTTTCAATGCTTTTCTATTTTTCTCATCTATCAGGGCAGTAAAATATATTTCTGAGAGACTTGGGGGACAGGCAGGGTTTTGAGTTTCTGGGGTTTTTTTCTTTGTCTTCGAGTCTTGCCTTATAGGCGCATTATAAATAATTGCAATATAGTTGATTCCCAAAAGGAGGATGTTTCATTTCTAGATCTAGAACAATTGGATCAATGAAATTCAAATGTTGTTTTCAGCAACGAACGATTTTGGATCTGTTCTAAAGTTAGTGGGTTTTAAATTGTATTTTCCATAAAATATGGTGCATTCATAGTGATTAAAAATATTTCACATTTTCATGTAGAAGGAAAAGCAGAGAGCAGTATATTTACATAGTTTCTTTATTTCAGCAGTGGACTTTTATATGGAAGTAGCTGCAGGGAAATGAAGTCTTCTGTTTGTGAAGTCTTATCACTTGATTGTTTTTCATTTAACTTAGAATATTACAGGAAATTTTTGCACACAAACATCTTGCTGTTCTCAAAGTAGTGCTCAGAAATAATGGTATGACATTACATTGCTTACACCATGTTATGTTGTATAAAAATTGTAATAGAGTAATAGACTACTAGTAATAGGATAAAAAAATACTGCATTTAAGAAAGGAAATGTCAAATGTTTGCGACAGAAGAAGTAAAGAAGTTTTTATGTTTTAAGACTTAAGTTTCTGCAGAGGAAATGATTATGACTATTTTTCATCTAGGAATTTGATCCTGAAGAGTTTTATTATCTTTTGGAAGCAGCTGAAGGCCATGCTAAAGAGGGGCAAGGCATTAAAACAGATATCCCTCGCTATATTATTAGCCAGCTGGGCTTAAATAAAGATCCTCTGGAAGGTAAGTGCAACTCCTGGTCTACCTAGAGGCTCCCATATTCTTCCTTCTCAATGTATGTAGTCATTCTGATTGTCTGTCTACCTGAAAAGGGTCAAAGTAAAGATGACAGCAGAAAACGCATTCACTAACCCTCATGGTTCTCTTACAAGCTCAAAGGCATATAAAAAGCTATCTGAGATTTTTTTGTTTTGTGACTTTCACTCACAAATTCAGTGTATCAGTGATACTCATTGTCCTGTTCCAGTCTAGCAATGCAAGTTTCTTATTTCAGCTAGAGCTGGTATAATTCAATGGCAACTCTCATCCAACTGTAGATATGCATGAAACTTGGCTGAGCTTTTATTTACCCTTCAGTGCCTCCAGACATCCACATCTTAGAGGCCCTGATAAGGCTATCTGCTGTTCTGATTAAAACTGCAGGTTTTTTCCTGAGTTTTATCTGTGTACACAGATGACAACTTTTGTTAGGGGGAATTTGGATGCCTGTGGAGGTGTTGTCATTGCAGAATTTTTGTTTGCCTAATTACTTCTTCTAAGAATATAGTTGGAAAAACTAAAACTGCTTCTGTCTCCTAACCAGACCATCTTCCTTTACATTTTGAGACCAGGTTCTATCACTGGTGACAAATGGAAATGGGTTGAATGTGTTCAGTGCTAGTCCTGCAGTTCGGAAGAAATTGGCAGAATTGCCATAATGGAAAATGAGTCTAGCTAGTGTCATAGGCTTGTAGAACGCTTCAGTTTGGAAATTGCCTTTAAAGGTCATCTAGTCCAACCTCCCTGCAATGAGCAGGGACATCTTCAACTATATCAGGTTGCTCAGAGCCCCATCCAACTTGACCTTGAATGTGTCCAGGGATGGGGCTTCTACCACCTCTCTTGGAAACCTGAACCAGTGTTTCATCACCCTCATTACAAAAAATGTATTCTTTACATCAGGTCTAAATCTTCCTTCTGTCAGTTTACAACTGTTACCCCTTGTCCTGTCACTGCAGATGCTGCTAGAAAGTTTGTCTCCATCTTTCTTAGTGTCATCTAGCTTGTCTTCTGTGTTACAACCCAGGACGAGGGGGATCTCTAGGAGAGAACTTGTAACACAAAACAATAGCAAAAACCTATGGTAAAACTTTAAAAATCGGTTCTCATGCAAGTTCATATTTCCTTAAATCATATTAAAGGTAGAGTATTGTATGTGTGCTAAAAGAAGTCTAATTTTTGTTCAATTTCAGCAGCTTGTGAAATTCAGCACTGCCACATACCAGGAATTTGGTTAGATCTAATTTGATTACATTTGATATTGTTACAGGTTGTATTTTTGTTAACAGATTTAAAGGAAGCCAAGCTGATGGTCTGCTTTATCTTCACAGAAGAATTCTCTCATCCAAATTTAGTGTTATTTTTTTCAGAGACAAAGATAAAAGCAGCTTTACTTTTTGCTTGGATTTAGACTGCAGCAAGGATGCAGACAAACTGAGAAAATATGATTGTTTTCCCTGCAGTACTTGAAAAAAATGCAGAACTAGCATAGTTCTGTGCAAGATAGAGGTGTTCTGGATTTGGAGAGATGTTGATCTGGCTTAGACTTACAATTTTCTTCACTGATCAATTATGCAAGATTTAATTTGGATTGTGGGTTGAGAGTTTAACCTTATTGACCCAAGTTCTGCCACTTGAACCTCATCTTACTCATTGACTTCTGGCCACTTGGATAAAAGTGTTCCTCAGTATGAATCAACAGTCTGAACTACCCCAATAATATCTTTCAATGTTTTTTAAACAGTTTGTTGTGAGAGAGGTCTAGAGACAAATGCTGTATGCAAATAAGGGAAACTGTTTTCTCAGACTAAATATTTATATATGTGTACTTCATCTAGAATGCATCTCATAATTACATTTCATAAATTGAATATTAAGGAATATAATATAAACATTGAAGCATTCCAAGGTAATTGAAATGTGTTATTTTCTGAAAGAAAAAAATGGGCTATGTTGTTTGTCAGTAAATACTGAGGGATGTATGATGTATGGTCTGTTGACCTTTGGTTCTATAGAAGTTTTGAGTAACTGAAATATTTTGTGTATCATTTTAAAGGTCAGTGTGTAGGTAGATTTGTGATCAACTAATTTAGGTATTAGTACTTTCTCTCACCTCCCCACAAAAAGTGGTATTTATAAGTGGTATAAATCACTGTGTGATTACTAGGTTTGGTTTTTAAATTGATGCCTCTATATACAAAGACAATTCCTAAGTAAAAATAAAATAACAGCACTAAGGGCTTATGCTCTGGAATTTATAATATACAAATATAATATGTGGAAACACTGTATTCATTGCTATTAAAAAAAAATAAATCATCGTCCTCATTAGAGAGCTTTAAATTCCTTGTATCCCAAACCAGAAAATATTTTAAAATATTTAAATAGCTGAACCAAATCCTTCAAAAGAAACAAACAAAACCCACCTCAGTAACACCACTTCTCCTGAAACACGTAACTGTGTTTTCAATTGAGCTGTTAAATTATGTCTGCAGTGTTCATACATGTTCATATGAGGGATTTTACTTTCTGTGCAGAGAAAAGCAACCGGCTTCTTTAGACCCTTCTCTACCCATGTCCTTTGTTTGCTGCCATAGCTGCAGTGTCCTTTCTTTGAGTGAAATGATGCATGCACTACTTTGAGATAATGCCAGATAAATTTATACTGTACTGAAAACAGTGCCACAACTTATCAGAGACTGGTGGCTGCATTTCTGAAGAATTCCTCAGGGATAAATTTTTCCCCATGGTTATTAAATTGCCATCTTTACCTTTTTGAATCATGAGTCTTCAGAAATTGTTAAAGTCAATGAAAGAAAAAGGGCAGATGTTTAATGGTATTTTAGATGAGTTTTAAAAATTTCTTCAGGCATTGCAAAATGGTTCCATCATTTCCTGTTTTGCAAGCTGACTCTTGGTTCAATTCTATTACTACCTACTACTTGCAATTAATACATATTTCTCAGATAATGGTTATTTTTCAAAATTTCTGTATAAAATCGACTAATTTTAATTTGAAATTTATGAAAATAATTTGAGAAGGCTGTCAAAGTATATTATCCTACCTTGCTTCATTCTCACCTGTTTAATAAAGGTTTCATCAATACTTCTGTTATACAAACCCCCCGTTCACAAAGCTGTGACTTTTGCCATGGAAATCTGCTCCAGTTTTGAGTTTGGCCTATATAATTTTACTTCTGGCCCTTTGGGGTTTTTTTTAAGACTTGTTTGTTCCCATTGGAGAACATAAGCATTTTTTTACATTTTCTTTCTTAAACTTCACAAATGTTGTGATAGTGATTACAAACAATTATTACAAATGAGAGTTACTTCTTAATTCTTCAGCTGTTCCAACAGAAAACTGTGTGATTAATATGCTTTTAATTATTACAGTAACTGTTGAGCAGAATTTCACTTGTAGTGGTCACTATTATGTAGAAAAATCCAGTTATATATTCTCTGTGAATACTCAGTTATTTTTCATAATCACTAGTTCAGTTAACAGTCTTGGGATAAGAATGCACCTCACAAACTTTGAGTGGTCTTACCTCTGATTCCCAGAACATATAATTATGATAAAATGTGCATCTGTGGCTACATGGCATATATAATTAGTTAAATGTGTTTATGATTAAAATAACTAAGCTTCCCAGGGCCTTTTAACTACCAGTGTTCCTGTTTCCCAGGGGAATTCTTAGTTTGTGGGCCCCTGAAGGAACAGGATGGGCTTAGGAGATCTGCAGCATAGGTTGACCTTGGACGGGACAAGCAGATCATGTAGCAGAGCTCCAAACTCTTAGTTTCTCAGAGGAGTAGACTGTATTAATGACTACATAAATGGTAAGCCTCTAGGAAGAAAATGGCTTTTAGCTTATTCCATTAGGCTTATCACCATTTCTGAGCAGAAGGTGCAATGCGGATGGAGTCTATCTTTGTCTAAACTGGAAGCTTTTTGCTCTAATAGTGAAGGAGCCCAGAAGGATGGGGCCCCTTCAAGGAATGAGATCCTCAGGAATTTTAGCAGATTAGTGCTGTTTTTCCCTTAATGCTCAGATCACATGTGGATCTTAGAATTTCCATGTCTCAGCAGTGGTTGCAGTGTTGTTCTTCATTGCTTCATAGCTTTTTTAATTTTTCCGTGGAAGATTAAAATAGGCATTGGACAGCAGCTCTTCATTTTCTGGGTGGGATTTTTTTTATGTATGCTTGGAAATGCCCTGGAAGTTATTTGGTAAGTACTGCCTAAGACAGCATGTTTATTAAGTATTCCAGAAGAGTGTCACTTCTCAAGTTTTCTGTGTTTCATTTAGTTTTGTATTTCCTATGGTTTAAAATGAAGCTTTCTAACCTTTGCTTCCAGAAATAGCTCAACTAGCTAACTGCGACAGTGGGTCAGCAGAAACTCTGGAAGTGGATGAATCAGTAAATGTAAGTTTTCCTGTTATGTTACAGCTTTTGCTGAATCTGAGCAAGGAAGAATAAATGTGTGGTGTTCCTCACCCTCACACCCTCTCCTCTGCTGTATTTTCTGCATGAACAGAATGGATACAGTGGTGGTAGCACCATGGTGTTCAACAGACAGAATGCTCACAAAAAAATAGAACAAAATTGTTTATCTTTTTTCCTAGATGTTGCAGAATATTTAACTTCTGTGAAGTTAGTGTTCACCATGTGGCAATTCTTCTACCACAAAATCCACCCCCACTTCCTTAGTTCCATATTAAGTTAATGTATTCTATTAGAAGGACTTTTTAACCTTTTTGTAAAAATATTTTAAACACGTTTTAAAACAGTCCATTTACAGAGGCAGCTAATGGTAAAACTAAGAGAAGCGTGAAGAGAGAAGGAAGAAATGAGCAAGTTAGCAAATAGCCTCAATTCAGAAAGTTAGTTTGCTATTTGAGAGATTGCACACTGGTCTTCTGAATCTGTGTGAAAATACTTGATTGCAATAATGGATATCATACAGTAATATTTTGTCAGATGCTTTTTCAAGTTGGCAAAAAAACCAACAAGTTGGAGGAGCTGGTTGGGCCAAATATTGGGGGCTTAAATGCTCTAAAATTAAATTATTTTTTAAAGTTAGTTCCTATATCTCGCATTTAAATCAACGGAATAAAGAGATGTCTATCAATGTATATGCAAGTAGATAGAAAAAGCAAGTGCAATTTTTTGGGGATGCATAGGTAATTCAGTGGTATTTTACAGGTATTTAGAAATGTCAGTAGAGTTAAGATGCAGGCAAGGGGTATCTGTTAAATTCCATTTGATAAGTGGCCGCAAAGGCATCATCCTCTTGTAAATGTCACATTATCTTGAGATAATTTCAGATTTTCTGGCAAAATGCCACCTATGAAGGCTTCCAGAGTTGTGACTTGAAGGGTATTTCTTACTCTGCTGCTTTTGTTCATCATTTAACATACTATACTAGGCCTGAGCAGTATAAAGTGGAAGGAGAGTGAAGGAAGTGCTGAAATTCTTAGGAGAATCTAAGGTGCAAACTAACTTGGCAAATTCTAGGAAATTGCAATTGTAAAGTTATTTGTGTTTTGCAAATGGTGAAGAAATAAAGGAACAGTAATGCAGTGTAACAATGGAACATAAGTAGGGGACATAAATGTACACAGTAAAGAAAAATATAGGATAAATATTTGGAAACAGTTTCTCAAAGTGCACCTGTGGGATAAATACACATGGAAAGTGACAGGAAGCATAGCTTAAAAGTAAATACAGGACTATTCAAAATTACCATAAGTATGCAATTAGAGAGAATCCTACACTGGCAGGCAAGTGTGCTAAACTATTTAATAAGCTGTCTCTGCTCCTGTGTAGTTCATTAAATTAATATATTCACATATCTTCTTGCGCTGAATTCTCTTTAGCAAGCATTTTATTGAAAATGTTCCAACCAAGTCTACTTTCAACCTTACCTGTTGCCAAACTGCCTAGGTAGGGATAATAGAACTTCTTGAAGATTTGGAAGCGTCTTGAAAAGGATCTTGTGGGTTTGGAGTTCTGAATTTGGAAGTCCCATACCCTCATCATCCCCCCTGCACCCCAATTCTAATTACACTTGCATCTTCAAAATCAATTAAAAATTAAGATAGAAAAAAAGATTGTGCAGTATTTGGGACAGCTCCATTCTGGAAGTGTTCTGGCATACATGGAGGTGAAACTGACCTCTGTAATGGTAGAATTACTGCATTTTTATCTTCCATATTTCTGTTTTTCATTTTGTATATCTTTTTACAGTCTATCCTAATATAAGTTAGAAACATGTAAAATTTTATTTGAATGATCACGAGCTCATCTGTATTTTGTTACTACCAGGATATGCTACCACACTCAGATTTACTAAAATGGGAAGAGAGTGGCCAATGAGTGCCTGGTAGGATTTCACAGACGTCTGTAACCTCTGTATAGGCATTGCCAGGAAAGGAAAAGCTCCTTTTGCAGAGGCCTTCTTGCCTGTCTGCTGTAACTTATGCATGGAGGTAAAAGGAGAGGTAGCTGCAGTGTAACAAATACCTTTTTGATGAAAAAGCTGCTTTGCTTTAGGAGGCCCTTTGGTCTCTTTCTGTGCTAAATGGCACAGAACCTTGGATAGACCTTTTAGCTGATTCACCAGGGTGGGACAGCCTGCTTTGATAATTGCTTTTTTGTTTCCTTGTTTGTTTTTCCGTGATTTTGAAAAAAGTACTGTATTAACTTTGGTCTTTCTTGTCTTTTACTTTGAAGAGTTCTAATACCTCACTGAAGCTGCGAAGGAAACCTCAGGAAAGTGATTTTGAAACAATTAAACTGATTAGTAATGGAGCTTATGGGTGAGTGATTCATGAACACAACAGCTCTTTTGCATTTTATTTTCATGTAACTGCCCATTATTTCTTATTGCAGAGATGTTTACATGAGTGAGCTTGTTTGCACTGCTACTTTTTTCATTCTCCTTTCCTGTTTTGTTGTTAATATTTGAAGTTCGCAAGAAAAACTTTTTTTGAAAGCCTGCTAGGCAATAACGAATTACTGTGTGCTGCAGTAAATTAAAATACTGAATATTACATCACAAAGATTTTTCAGAAGTAGATATAATATAATGTAATGCCAAAGATGAAATCTGAATAAATCAAAAGGCAGATGTAAAGCCACCTTTATAATACTGAAAAACACCCATGTTTATGCGGGTGTGATCCAGAATAAAACTCTAGGTAGACAATTAGAAGTGAGTGCTTACTTTATATTGGTGAAGTGAAGAATATTGGTGAAGTAGAAACAAATTCTCTTAAGTAGGGCAGCACTTTTTTTGTTGTTTCTCTGTGGACATTATTTCTTCCTCAAATTTCAACAAATCAGCTTTCAAGGAATTGTTGCTGCTTGGTTACCTTCTGGGCACTTGGAAAGTGCACAACTTACTGCACAGTGGTGTGTAGGTCCTTTGAAGATATCCTAGAAGAGCAAGAGAAAATAATGGTAGCCTAGGCCTTAATGAATAAGAAATACTTTTTTGGAAGTACTCTGCAGGGTTGTGCCTACCAGGAGGCAGAAGTCTGTCTTTAGTTACCTCTTCTGATCAGATACTATCTGTTAGACCCTTGATTAGCTTCTGTGCTGAAATGTGCAGGATGGGGCCTGTTGATCTAGCTAACCTGCAGGACCAGGAGGGATGTATTTCTTCAAAAAAGAGAGGTTTCTGTCTTTAGGTGATGACCCCATCACCAAATAAGGCTGTGTGGGAAATGTGCCTGGTAGTAGAGAGGGCTGTGCTGCTCTGCAGTGCAGACCCCAGTAGACTGGCTCTATTCTCCTCTGCCTCTGCTTGAGGTAGGAAGTAGAAGTGACGTGAGAAGACTGAGCACTCTTTGGAGAGACATTGGCCATAGAAGAGAGAGCACCTGCAGTCTACTGCTACAGTTTTGCACGCCCCTTCTTCCCTTCCAACTCAAACCATTCTGTAATGCCATTTTAATGCCCTGAGGCTTATGGGCACAGTAGTACTGTGATCATATTTAGTTAGTGGAAACCCTGAGCTCTGAGGCAGAGGACATTCAGTACTGCCTGCTGCTATCAGTCATGGTCACTTGTGTGGAGGCTATTACTTGTGTCCCAATCTGCTTACATAGCTCAGCAAAAGCCTGAAGGAAATAGCATAATTTGCATTGAAGTTATATAAATATCCAAATGCAACTTTTCACTAGTCAACCTCTACACAGTCACACAGAATCACAGAATTTTTTGAGTTGGAAAGGACCTTAAAGATCATCGAGTTCCAATGCCCCTGCATGGGCAAGAGATACCTCCCACTACAACAGGCTGCTCAGGGCCCCATGCAACCTAGCCTTGAACACCTCCAGGGATGGAGCCCCCACAACATCTCTGGGCAGCCTGTTCCAGTGTCTCACCACCCTTACACTGAAGAATTTATGCCTGATCTCTGACCTAAATCTCTCTTCCTTCAGCTTAAAACCGTTACCCCTCGTTCTCTCACTGCAAGCCCCTGTAAAAAGACCCTCCCCAGCTTTCCTGTAGGCCCCTTCAGGTACTGGAAGGCCACTGTGAGGTCCCTCCAGAGCCTTCTCTTTTTCAGACTGAACAACCCCAACTCCCTCAGCCTGTCCCCATAAGAAAGTTGCTCCAGCCCTCGGATCATTTTGTGGCCCTTCCCTGGCCATGTTCCAACAGGTCCACATCTGGGGGCACCAGAGCTGGACACAGTGTTCTAGTTGAGGTCTGACCAGAGCAGAGTAGAGGGGCAGAATCACCTCTCTCGATCTGCTGGCCACACTTCTCTTGATGCAGCCCAGGATGGAGTTGGCCTTCTGGGCTGCAGTTGCACACTGGAGGCTTATGTCCAGCTTTTGATCCTGTAGTACCCCAGGCTCTTTTCCACAAGGCTGCTCTCAAGTGTGACCTTGCCCAGCCTGTATTCATATCTTGGGTTACCTAGGCCCAGATGCAGGACCCTGCACTTGTCCTTGTTGAACCTCATGAGGTTCACCTGGGCCCACTTCTCCAGCTTGTCCAGGTCCATCTGGATGGCATCCCATCCCTCTGGCATATCGACCACACCACACAGCTTGGTGTCATGAGCAGACTTGCTGAGGGTGCTCTCAATGCCACTGTCAGTATCATTAATGAAGATATTAAACAGCACTGGTCCCAGCACTGACCCCTTAGGGACACCACTTGTCACTCCTTTCCATCTGGACTTAGAGGCATTGACCACTACCCTCTGGACGCAACCATCCAGCCAATTCCTTATCCACTGAACAGTCCACCCATCAAGCCGATATCTCTCCAATTTAGTGAGAAGGATGTTGTGGGGGACCATGTCAAAGGCCTTGCAGAAGTCCAGATAGGTGACACCTGCTGCTTTTCCCTAGTCGACTGATGTGGTCACTTCATTGTAGAAAGCCACTACCTTGGTAATTTCTCAGGATTTCTCCCTAGGCAAACTTACTACTTACTGTATGCTGGTTTCTCCCATTTATCCCAGGACTTAAAAAGCCTTCTTTTGAGCAGTAGCTGCTGCTCCCCTCCCTGACTTGGTGACTTCTCCTTCCCTTGGCAGATGGTTAGACTCCTTCATTCCTTCAGTGTCTTACCCAATTTCCTCTTTGCCTTTCTGAAGGAAGACAAGAAGAACCATGTGGGCTGGGGCCCCTCTTGGACAGAAGGATGTCTGAGTCACTAGACCTGCCCAGCTTCCCAGAAGTTTTAGGTTGCTGAGGACTAGAGGGAGGATGGAGCAGCTGCAGAAAGGTGTGCTGCAGCCAGCAGCTTGAGTCTGGTCACCTAAAGTCAGAAGTTTGGTGGACCTATGACTCTTCCTCCATGGGTATTATAGTACAAAGGAGCCTTGAGGAGCCATTAAGTGTACACTGGAGACAACTGTCCATTTGAAACCAGAGACAAGTAAGGATCTGAGAAGCTGAAAGATAAAAGCCTTGGCATTTTATGGCACATACAATATAGGCATGTAGGAATTTTTTTCCTGATTTGTGGCAGGTTTAATCACTACTTATGAAACACGTTGCTTTAAATGGCTACTTCTTAGAAGAAAAATAAAGAATGAGAAAGAAAATAAAGGTACAGCCCCTTACTAATTAATGTAGAGGGAATGGAACCCACTCAGTGAGCTGTGAGAAAATAAACTTCTGGAAGTATTTCCTCACTTTTTAAAGTTACTCTATCACCTCGTCATGTCGCCCTAATGTCCTGGTTTGAGCAGAGTAGCTCAGCGGAAGCGTGCTGGGCCCATAACCCAGAGGTCGATGGATCGTAACCATCCTCTGCCAGTTACACTGCAGCCGGACACACCTAACTACTCTAAGTTGAGGAGGCTTGTGCTCCTAAATACTCTGGGATATCACTTTTTAACAACTATCTGGGTGCTTAAAGACATTCACTGTGATATGTCAGGTAACTGGGATCATAACATTGACAGACCATCTTTTGGTCTTTATTAAGTGTTTTTTCTTTTGGTACCAATACTATTGGTGGTTAATTCACCCAAAAATTATGTGCAAGTTTAAAGGGGAACACATCATGATTACATAGATGCTCTTTAAGCCATCTGCAGAACGGAATAAACCAAAAATACCTTTTTTGTGAATACAGATGGAAAGCAGTAAAGTAGCCCATAGGCATTAAGTGCAGTTTATTTACAAGTATAAGCAGCTGAAATAAAAGTTATTGTTGTTATGCTACAAGGATATTTTTTTTACACTTTCATGTTTTTCTAGGCAATTTTTTAAAATAATCTAAATATGTGTGAATTCCTTCTGTGCTTCAGTGATTCTCAAAAGTATGTCAGTGGTCTTATTTTGTGCTCTGACTTACTAAAGATTCAGTATGCTATTGTAGAGGCTATGATGGAGGTTTTGATTCTGAAGCAATAATAAAAAAAATCCATTTCACTGTCTTTGATGTTGCTGTGGTGTTTTTGCCTTCATGAGTGAAATGGAAAACTTAAAAGACCGCTTGACGGGGTAATTGTTGGTCTTGATACATTAAACTTGATGAGTTTAAATATAAGCTATTGGTTTTATGAAGATTGAGCAAAATATCTTAGCAGTTCGCTGCTTTTAATTGATTGGGTAAACTTACTGTAGTGCATTTAAATATCTGTATAGTTGATGAGGTGTATCAGGTTTTTGGAAAAGGAGTATACAAGAAGTTAAGCTACGAATCAGCAAACATGTAGGATGCTCACCAAGTAGTTAATAGCTAAAACTTCTGAAGTCATAGCAACATTTTTTCCATATTCCATCTTGCGGAAGGTAGCAGTTAGTAGTAGTTCATCTCCTCAAGTTGGCATCGGCCTGCTTTCCTGAACCAGCTCAACAAAATAAATGTTATATTTGATTTCAAAGAAGTAAGTTACATTAGTTCAATTGCTCTTCATCCATATCTGCTTAAAGTAAATACATATACCACTTTTTCACCTGCTTTGAATGCTTTCACTTCTGCAAAGGTGGTCATGTCAATATGTACATGAAATACTGGCTGATGGTGTTTTTAAAACTCTGAGGCAGTGTTGGCTTGTAATGACCCAAGATGCAAATGAGACTTTGTGTAGGGGTTACAGTGGGGTTTCGACACCATTTCCAGCAAGTATGGGTCCTGAGGGCTGGTCCCTAACACCACCCCGAGGCCCAAACACACTACACTCTTCCTTTGTGGTTGTTTTTATATATCAGACAGAAGAAAAAGATGGAGAGACAGAACTTAAGAAGAAGGCATTTCAAGGCCAACTGTCAGTCCAATTAACACGACAATCAACATAAATTAGATTTTGGTAATGCAATCCCACCACCCCATCAGACCC